GGAGTACCAACACCTCTACTTGAATCCTTGATCCCATTCTCTGTTGTCCCCTCTGGTAGATTTTCCCTCCAATCATTCCCTCCTCCCCAGATTTTCAATCTATCCCTATGTACTTGTTTTTTTCTTAAATGCCTGCAAATATGTCTAGGTCTCCTGCATCCCTAGGGCAGCAGGGTGGCACAGTAGATAGAGTACCAGGCCTGAAGTCAGAAAAACTTATCTTCTTGAGTTCAAATCTGGCCTCAGACACTTACTAGCTCTGTGACCCTGGGTAAAACATTTAAGCCTGTTTGCCTCAGTTTCCTCATCTGTAAAATGAAATGGAGCAGGAAATGGCGAAGCACTCTAGTATCTCTGTCAAGAAAAACGCAAATGGGGTCATAAAGAATCAGGCACTACTGAAAAATGACTTATTCCTGCATCGATAAAAAAACCTTCACTTGTCCAGATTACCCCCTCAAGATAGCATCCTCTGTATCTCTTCCTTTTCACAACCAAACTCATTGAAATGCCGGTCTACAGTCATTGCCTCTACTTCCCCTCTTCTCCACTCCTTGAAATAATCACTCAAATAACTGCTCTCTACAGTTACCAGTTATCTTTGAATTGCCAAATCTAATCAATTTTGCTTTTCTAACCTTTTTAAACTGGCCACTCCTTCTCAATGTCCTTTGCTGGACCCATATACCATTTCTTAACTGTGGATATACCCTAAGGTTCTATCCTGGGTCCTCTTCTCTTTCCATCTTTCTTAGTGATCTCATCAGCTCTAATGGGTTCAATTACTTGTAAACAGATTAAATATCCAACCTTAATTTCTCTTCTCAGACTGAGCCCTACAGGACTTTTTTCCTCATTCTTACTGCACTGCCAACTCATCTCCTTTTCCATATCCTAGATAATACATATTACTTTTATAAATCTTAAAATACCATGAACTCAAAATTAATCCTTAAATGCACCTATAATCTCATCAGTGTGGATATTTCCTCCAGTGATACAGATTGCAATACACCTATGGATTTTTACCCTATGCCACTTTTGTCAATATCTTCTTACAAGTTTTGCCACATGGGGTCCACCCAATATACCAGAGGCCTTCTTTGGTTTATTCTGACATCTGTAGGATATCAGTGTAGAACACTGACTGCCCAATAGTTATCCCTTATCTTCACCATGTGAAAACCTCATCTTTTTAAGACATTTATTCTATGTCATCTTTTTCCTCAATTTCTCTTTGACACAATATTAAAGTGTTGTAGCTTCCTCACATCCCCTGTGCTCCTCACATTCATCCTCAGGCTGATTTTCAGTCTAATTTCTTCAGATACTGTTGTGTTCCATGACTTTCAGCCATATAACAACAGCAGAATAATATTAGTATCTAAAAAATGGGCGTTTGTTTCAGGGAAAAGCTTGGTGTCATGAAAAGAACAGCAATTTTCTAAAGGCAACTCATTCTGTTTTCTTCAATTCTGGGCGCAACTCTTTGTCCATCTTTTGTATTTGTCACACACATACACAAACTCACATGCATGTACACATGGATATATACATATAGTTGTATATGTTTTGATGGACAAGTTTGATGGGGTATTCATCTGATTATATATCATAAATTTGGACAATCTTCATCTCTTTGATTTATCCCATGTAGTTAGGCCAAACTCTTTTGAGTAATAATGGATATCATTCTGGAGTCTCTGCAGGGTCAGGGGGTTGATGCCATTGGCACATTATCTGCAAATAGGAGCTTCTGAGGGAATCTCATCTTCTCTCTGGCCTCTTCAATTTGGACTCTATGCTAGATTCCTTCATTTAACTGCCCAACACCTTGGTGAGCTTACATCTCTTTATTTTATGCCTCTCCTGGTATTAATGATCAGTGGGTCGAGGAGTGAGCTTGTCTCTATTGTTATATCTTTCAAAGAATCTTGTATAATTTTGATATAGGCATGGGAGAAAGCTTGTTGGAGGAAAGCCTCTGAGGGGGCATTTTGCTCTACCCAATCAAAAGCTTAAAAAAAAATTCAACAAGCAATAAGTATAATAGGACGTTGCATTCTCTGTAGCTTTAGGAGGTTATGTGATGGTAAAAATGTGGTTTATTTTGGAATATTGCTTATCCACTTATCCACTTATTCCCTTCTAATGTGTTCATTAAGGATGCTCTTGATACTTGTATAATTATTCCCATGATAATTTTATGTAAATGAGAAAGTGGCTATATGGGTTGGTAGCTCCTGGTATTTCCTTGATTGTCTAATAAAGTCCTTTATTTTCCCATAATTTTGTTATCTCTTTATCCTTTTCAAGGGGGTTGGGGTGGGAGAGGATTCTTTGAGAACTGGTCTCTAAATATTCTCAAAGTTGGATCACCTCTAATGCAGACCTCCTATGTGTATTGTTTATAATGTGTTTTAGCCTCCTCACCCCCTCACCTCCCCACCCCTGTACTCCTCTATTTAAGCTGCCTGTTCTAATTTTGTTTTCTTCAGTGCTATTTTCACCTCCGCTATATGCATATTTAGAACTGTGATATTAAGGTCCAAATGTGGTAGCTCCACTGGTCTTGATGGTGAAAAGCATTTCTTATAAAAATCTTTGTAGACTCATCTGTGTGTTGTGTTCTTCCCCTTTAAATTCTTAAAATATTTTGGGATGTTACATAAATGTCTGGTATTATTATCATCATTGTCTTTTATGCCATTCTCTAGTACAATTTGACAAATATCATATTTAATGCCTTATTTGATCCTCACGACAATCCTTGAAGTAGACAGTATTGGTATTACTGTCACCATTTAATAAATGGGAAGGGAAAGGCTCAAAGTGACCCATGGTTACATGGCTAAAAAGTCTCAGAACTGGAGTTCAAAATTAGGCTGAGAAGTAAAGATTTTCCATGGCTGAGGAGACCGAGATATTTGTGTAGGCAGCATGGAAGTAGCCAGGAGACTCAAAGAAACTGAAGATGAGGGGTAAGTAGGATGGGAACACCTGTAGAGGAAATCTCCCAGAGGAGATGAATAGTTGATTGGCTCAAGAAAACAAGTAAAGGGGTTATGTTGTCATGAAGAGTGACCACTTCTTTGTTAAAGATTTGAGCAAAAGGAGGAGAGGAAAGGGGATGACACCAAAGAGTTTTTACTTGTAGAATGGGGAGAAGGAGCTTACAATGAATTTTTTGAAAAAAAATTTTAGCAGAGTAGGATGAGATAGGTGGAGGAGGTATAGTGTAGCAAGATTGAGGAGAGTAGAGAGAGTTTGGAATGGCCAAATGGGTCGAGAGAGAGAGAGAGAGAGAGAGAGAGAGAGAGAAGAGAGAGAGAGAGAGAGAGAGAGCCAAGCAGGGAAGAATAAGTAGATTGTTACATAGCAAAGAAGGCCTAGTTAGACTTGGTAAAAAATGTGTAGTGGTTCCAGTGGACATGGATGTATGACTTCCTCTGGTGGTGTTCAACAGAATAAGAATAGGAGTGGAGAAAGAAGATGGTGGGTATGACTCAAGACTGGGACTTAGCCAATCACGAGCAGTGATTAGACATGAGAACAGATTCAAGGTCAGAGCACAGTGTAGAGCTGACCTAGTTGACTGTAGGAGCAAGGCTTTGGAAGGAAGAAATTAAGACCAGCACATGGGGGTTGATGAGTGCAAAGTTGTGAGGTCACTTGAGGTCTCATAGAAAATGAAGAATAACTTCGGGAGGAGTAAGGCAGAGTAAGTAAGTAAGGAAAAGATAGAAGGTTGGGAATTTTAGAATTTTGAATCACAAGTGCAGAAGTTTGGATAATAGCTGCTGTGGGCTGTGAATTTCAAAGATCTGACAGTTAAAACCCCATTTTCTTACCTACAGTTTCCAGACATTCTAAACAAGTCATCTTATTTAATACTTACAGGATATTATAGTATAGCCATTTTAAGATAATAAAGGAATATGAATTATTAAATAGCTTTCAAATATGGTTATTTGCCTTTAGAGCTCTGTGCCTAGGAGAGTCAGCAAAGAGGAGCCTGAGCATCCTAACAAGGCAATTGAGAAGTCTTTCTGATTCCTTTATCTTCACGGCTAAATTACAGTTTGCTATAGAAACATAATACTCCAGACTAGGTGTTTAGAGGTAGCTATGATCTTTCTCAAGTGGGTCAAGCCATTCACCCTTTAGTATGGTGTTCAGTAAAGCATTCTGAGATGTGCTATAAATGCACCCAAATTAGCCTTGGAATGCTTAAAGAGACATTGTCGAAGCCCATAGACTTGTAGTCTGACTTATCTTTTTTTTTTCCCCTCTCAACTCAATGCACTTCTGTTTAAGATTGGGTAAATTTTTTTTCTTTTACCCTCTCTCCACGATCCCAAATGAATGCCAACAGTCTTCCTGTGTAATCCCACAATAACCACTGTGAGCAGGCAACAGAGAGGAATAATTTTTTTTGCCAAGAAAAGAGATTTCAATTTGTTTCAAGGGGTAGTCATGAAAAGAATCACAAATCATTTGTGAGATTATTAAAAGTAGCAAGTAAACTGCCATGTAATGCTTTGCTCATGGTGTTTCATCCAGATCATGAGATGTCATGGGCCATAATGCGGAGGGATAAGTGTGAATGTCAACATTTTGGCCATGGTTGCATATAATATTTCATAATAACTAAGACCCTCCTCCCTCTCTTGCCCCAAACTATAAACCAGAGAGCACCTGGAAACCCAGATCACAAGAGTGCTAGAAACATTAATTAATTTTATGGCTAAGGTTTATAATGGGCTGCAAAAAAAAATTCCTATTCTAATTGGAATATACATTCCCCAGTTTTATCGTATGTCAATGCACATTTCTCTGCACAGCTGCTGGGGAAAGGAAGGGCACTGTTGAACTGCTATTTCTCTGCCATGACAAACACCTATTAAGCAGTCAGCATAAATGCTTCTCATTACAACCTCTGACATCACCCCCAGGGCAAGCGGACACAGAACAGCAATTGCTGAATTGAGTATAAAAATTATCGTTTTATTGTCTATACAACTGAAGGTCTAACTTGGACTCCTGCTTCAGTCAGCACTGTATAAAGGAGTGATTCTTCCTTGGAACAAATAAGCACAGTACACCATTGTAATCTAAGAAACAGGCACTATTTATGTATTGGAAAGCCTTGTTCACAACAGTGATAACAGTCTAATGGCCCAGAAACCACTATTTTAGCAGCTGTAGAAAAAAGGAGTCATAAATAACAAGATGTTGAACAATGTCAGAGATAGATGATTAGAACACAAATGGAATCTTCCCCATTAACACAGCTGTCCTATCTGTTAGTTTAACAAGCATGATTCATAGGTGGGGACCATATATTTAATGTTTATAAAAGCATCTTCTCCTCCAAAGCGCTCAAACGCCTCTAGTGTCTCTTGGATCAAGTCTCCAATGTTTACTCTCTTCTGTTGGCTATAGTCAATGCCATCTCCGGAGTTAACTGGTTAATAAAACAAAAACACAAAGACAGTTATTTTTCTGCAGTTTTCTGAAAAGCATTATATATCTTGCCAGGCATTATCAATAGCTAATACCATTCATTTTTTCTCAGCATGGTGATTCTAGGAGACATTACCTTTTATTTCATATGGCAAACTTAACATGTTTTAGGAGCTATATATCTAAAAATGTTTCATTCATTAATTTTAAAAAGCCATCTAACAAAAACAACTAGTTCCTACTATGTATGAGGCACTATGGTAGGCACTGAGAAAGATAAAAAGATAAGTAAGACACAGTCCATGCCCAAAATAGTTTACAGTACTTGTGATTAATCTGAGACACTTAGAAGTCTTTTTCCTTTACTTCCACATTTATGGCTGTGCCCTAAAGGTTGAGATTGCCTGGAGTGTCACCTCTTGGTAAGAAGAATATTATTATGTTCGACATGAGCATCAGTTCAAATATCTTACACAGAGATCTTTAAAAATGAAGGACAAAACATTAATTCCACCAATACTCAAAGCATTGCATCTAGGTATGTCACCTTAAGAGCCTGCTTCCCATCATATGGACATAAGATTCAAAAGAAACCTAGATGAAAGGAAGGGACAGTACCGGCACATATCACATAATGAAGCCTGTGAATGAATCCCTATGGCTATGAACATGAACCAGACTTCCTCTCAGAAGCTAGAGCTTGGTCAAAGTTGTCAAATACTTAGACTTCCCACAGAGGAGTTTGGAAATACATTATTTTCATATTTTTAATTAAAAAAATTTTTTTAAACATTTTTATTTAAAGTTTTGAGTTCCAAATTCTATCCCTTCTTCCCTTCCCCCTCCCTGAGATGGTGGCAATCAGATATAGGTTACACATCTGCAATTACATAAAAACACTTCCATATTGGGCATTCTGTACAAGAAGACTTGAATAAAAGAAAAAAAATGAATGAAAGAAAGTGAAAACTAGCCTGCTTCAGTCTGTATTCAATCAATATCATTTCTTTCTCTGGAGCCAGAGAGTATGCTGCATCAATAGTCCTTTGGGATTTTCTTGGATCGTTGTGTTGTTGAGAATAGCTAAGTCATTCACAGTTCTTCATCGACCGATATTGCTGTTACTATGCACAACATTCTCCTGGTTCTGTTCACTTCACTATGCATCAGTTCATGTAAGTCTTTCTCGGTTTTTCCGACATCGTCCTGCTTGTCATTTCTTGCAGCACAATAATATTCCATTACAATCATATACGACAGCTTGTTTAGCCATTCCCCAATAGATGGACATCCCTTTGATTTCCAGTTCTTAGACCCCATAAAAAGAGCTGCTATAAACATTTTTGTACACATAGGTCCTTTTCCCTTTTTTTGGATGTCTTTGGGAAATAGACATAGCAGTGTGGTATTGCTGGATCAAAGGGTATGCACAATTTTATAGTCCTTTGGGCATAGTTCCAAATTGCGCTCCAGAATAGTTGGATCAGTTCACAACTCCCCTAACAGTGTATTAGTGTCCCACTTTTGCCACATCCCCTCCAACATCCAACATTTTCCTTTTTGTCATATGAGCCACTCTGATACATGTGAGGTGGTACCTCAGAGTTGTTTTAATTTGCATTTCTCTGATCAATTGTGATTTAGAGTATTTTTTTATATAATTATAGATAGCTTTGATTTCTTTGCCTTAAAACTGCCTGTTCATAAGCAGTATATTATCTTAGAGAGATTACCTTAGGGAAGAAAATAGTGCTTGTCACTCCTAAATTTCAAGACAGTCATAGCTAACTGCCTCTCTCAAGTGATTAAATCTCAGCTTGGAGTGATATAACACCAAAACAACTGGTAGATGAGTGAAAAACTCAGTACATCAAATAATACTTCATCTATATTATGCCAATCAATGCATTATGACTGACCCTTTTAGTCTTTCAAATGAATTTATATGTACATATATATGTTATAAATATGCATGTAAATACAAATATATGCCATGAAAAGTGTTTGGCATGACAGAATACCCCTGTTTCTTTTCATTAATGCATTATTGCTTTCAGAAGTTTATAAAGACCTAAAGCTGGTACTTTCCCCAAATCTTTAAACATGTAGTAAGGCTCAGTAAATGAAGTAAGATGTAATAATAATGAAGTCACAGTAATAGCTTGTGTTCATATTGTTAGCAAATAACCATCTTAACGCTGGGAAAATATCTAGTTTTTTAAACAAGTAAAAATTAATTACGCAGGAATTTAATACTATACCTTTGAATGTTATTATTTATAACTACATTTAATGAAGGCTGTTTTGTTGTTTTGTCTGTTTTGTGGGTTTCCGTAGCCAAAACATTTTATTATCTTCTGGTTATCACCTTCTGGTAATGAACTTTTATAAACTATTTTTTATTGTAGTTCAGCCATTTTCATTCATGTCTCATTGTGACTTTGACTCTTTATGACCCCTTTTCTTTGGGGGGGGTTTCTTGGCAAAGATATTGGAGTGGTTTGCCATTTCCTTCTCCAGCTCATTTTACCAATGAGGAAACTGAGGCAAACACGGTTAAGTGACTTGACCACAGTCACCAGTACATCAAGCGTCAGAAGCCAGATTCAGCTCAGGAAGAGGAGTCTTCCTGACTCCAGGTGTGGCTTTCTATCCACTGCAGCACCTAAGATACCCCTTTTTATGAACTTGGTGGGTCTCACCTAAACAAAGACACAAGAGAAAAGCTGGGCCCATGACCTTTCAAACACATTAGAACCTACCAGAGCTTGTGCTCTAAGGATATAGCATTGAGGATCCATAGGTCATCTCCATGCCACAAGGAAACACTGGACAACTTTTGTCTGAGGAAATATATTGGCCTAACCCTCTGAACTGGGCTTTTGGGTGGCTCAGTGGATAGAGTGCCTGGCCTGGAGTCTTCCTGAATGAGTTCAAATATGGCCTCAGATACTTACTAGCTGTGTGTGACTCTGGGCAAATCACTTCACCCTGTGTGCCTCAGTTTCCTCATCTGTAAAATGAGCTGGAGAAGGAAATGGCAAACCACTTCACTATCTTTGCCAAGAAAACCCCAAATGAAGTCATGAAGAGTAAGGCACTACTGAAACAACTGAACAACAAATAAAATCCTCTGAACTAGAAAACCAAAGTAAATAAAAACTAGTTTTTGCATTACGAAATGCCATTGGATGGACGACCCATTGAATTAATCCATCTACTATATCTTGGATAAGTACCACAGATGGACAAAGAGCAGTGCCAGAATAGAATAGGAGGATAAAATTGGATGGACCTTATAAAATTGGATAGACCTTATTTGGGAAATTACTTAGCATTTTCAATCTAAGCTGCTTGCTGCTTCAATAGGGATTTTTAAAAAAAATTATCTCATGATGCTGGGAGTCTATGAATTATGGGATCTCCAAAATCTTAAAATGTCAGGTGACCCAAAGGGCAATTAAAAGATTCACGGACCTCAAAAACATTGCTAGCAATAACTTAGGCGTGTACGAGTGATGCAAAAGGCACAATCATGGACATGCAGGGCTTCAAAATAAGCAAGCTATTTCGGTGGTGAAAATGAAGAATGGACAGTTTGAACGCTTTACTGGTCCAATTCATGAAATGTTTTTAAAAACTAGAAAAGGTTCTCTAGCACATTGGCTTGATCATCTATGAAGCATGTGCAGAAAGCACAGACAAGAATTAGACAATATGAGACATCATGGCATAGAGGAGAGTACTGGATTAGGAGTCTGAAGATCTAGGTTCGGATCCCAGCCCTGCTACTTCTTCATAGGGTGGCCAGGGATGAAAATTCACTGACTCTCCTGTCCTCATTTTCACTACCTGTACAAAAAGAGGTTGAATAAAATGATCTCTAAGGCTCCTTTCTAGCACCAAAGCCTGTGGTTTTAGGATGCAGATATGTAGGGAGATGACAGTCTACATTAGTGGAAGGAATTACCCACCCCAGTGAGATCATAAATGCACAAATACGAAATCATCCCTGGAATCTAAAGCTATAATGCAAGGGCAAAGCAAGGCTTTCAAAATTATGGTAACTAGCTTGAAAGTGAATTAGGGCACCAAAGTACAGCAAATGGTTGTGGCTCTTATGTGCTAAACTGTGGAAGGGAAGAATAACAGATCAAGAGAAAGGGGATAAAGAAAGGTAGAAGAAAAATAAGAGAAAAGAGAACTGTCTCATTTATTATTTATATGCATGCATGTGCAAATATTTGTATATATGTATGTCTATAAATTTATAAGCATATATTATACTTAAAGTCCATCTGGTTAATGTCAGCATTAACATAGCTAATGTTAAATTTTGAGGAAAAAAAAACTTGAAACACCATCACTAAATTATTGCCACTAAAAAGGGGGCAAATATCACTTCAAATGCAGCTTTCTCTGATCATTCTGCTAAGAATCATGCATAGGAGAAGAAGTAGGCAGAGTGCTGGCCTTAAGAGTCTAGAACTTGAGTCTAATAAAAATAATATGAATAATAGCTAACATTTGATAGCACCTACTATATGCTAGAGACACTTGCTAAACACTTTACAAATACCTCATTTAATCCTCACAACAATTCTGGGAGGTAGGTGCTATTATTATCCCTATTTTACAGATAGGTAAACTGAGGAAACTGAGGTTATATGAGTTGCCCAGGGTCATCTGACATTGTAGATAAGTTAAGCCCTCTTAGTTTGAATTTCTTTATACATAAAATGGGTAGTTGTAATAGTGCCTACCCTGTAGAGTTGATGTGGGATTCAAATGAAGCAATGTAAAATACTTTGCAAACGTTAAAGTGCTATATGTCAGTTATTATTATTATTACATGAAAAGGGAGGGAAAACATTGAAAATAGTTGAAACTGTGTCCACAGTAACATGTAAAGTATTCTCCTGTTGGGGCTTCATCAGTGCAGAAAAGCCTTCAGACTTGGTCTCTGGTGATTATGAGTTCTTCCTGTCACAAGTTTATTTA